CAGACTCAATAGAAACCCATAATCTAGAGGATTTGTCACCAGTGGAGATAGACACTGTTATGACTACGAAATCCTGACTTCCAGAATTTGATCGTAGTGATCCTGAGTTGTGGTTTGCTCAACTAGAGCATTATTTCACGTGACACAATATCAAATCTGAAGGGATTCGCTATCGAGACTTGTGTTCTATCCTTCCTCCTTCAGTCGCCAAAGAAGTCCGTGATTTGATTTTAGATCCACCATCACCACAACCATACACCATCTTAAGACGAGAGATAATGAACCGTTTATCATTATCAGATAGTCAAAGAATCCAAAGACTTTTTCAAGGTGAAACACTAGGTGATCGGTCGCCGTCACAGTTTTTACGTCACCTCCAAGTCTTAGTGGGTGATAACACAGTGGGTGAAGCAGTCCTAAAACAAGGATGGATACAAGCTCTCCCACGATACGTCCAACGCTGTTTGGATGCACAAGATCCTGAAACCTCATTATCTCATTTAGCGCGTATAGCCGATAGAATAATGGAAAGAGGTCCTCCAACTGGATCAGGCACAATAAATCACACACAAAAAGTAGAATCAGCAAAAGACCCCGTCATAGAAGGACTCGTTGCGAGTGTTAAGAGTCTCACTGAGGCTGTCACCAGAATGCAAATGGGTCATAGAAACCGGAACAGGTAACCACAACGACCACGATCCAAGTCACAAAACAGGTCACAAATGTCCAGACAATCTGGGCAGTTTTGTTGGTACCACTGGAAGTTTGGTGTCAACTCAACCAAGTGCATGCAACCATGCGCCTGGCCTAAGCATAATTCTAAGACAGCGGGAAACGAGTAACCCCTCCCCAGGTCGCTTGTTTTATGTTAGAGACAGAAACTCTGGCTTGAATTTCTTGGTGGATACTGACGCTGCTCTTAGCATCATCCCTCAAAATAAAATTGAGATTAGTCGAGAAACTTGATTCAAACTCCTCCAGTAACAACAGCGAAATTCCAAGATATACTCGCGGAATTTCCAAACTTAACTAAACCAAACCCACAGCCTTCCAAAGACAAACTAAAAGTAAGTCACACTATCAAAACCGAAGGTGCAGCGGTTTTTGCAAAACCCAGGAGACTAGCACCAGATAAGCTCAAAATCGCTAGGGCCGAGTTTGATTATATGCTACAACTGGGTATTATCCGTCCCTCTGATAATCAATGGACATCCCCTTCGCATATGCTCTTGTAGCTAATATGAATTATGATCAGAGGCTTCAAATGAAAGAATGCAGTAATAAAGAACAATGAGTTGTGATATTTATCAAGGTGAAGTAATTTCAAATGAAGGAAGGGGAGTCAAGATTGCAATAAGAAAGGCTTTTTATTAGGACAGTAAGTGCATATAGAGAGTAAAGTGTTAAGAAAACTAATAACTGTATCTTTTATCGTCTGAATTTTTTCATCCGATGCCTGCCACACAGTCCTAATGTAAAAGTCCGAGTTAGCATGTTGTAGGTTGTCTTAGTAGAATATCTAATTAGAAATATGAGTCTGAATGTTGAGCGTAGGAGAACAACCTCAATATCACAGATCGATTGACTTGTTCACAATCATAAGGAGCCTGGCACAAACAAAATGTTCTGCTCCACAAACATGGGTGGATTGACGTCATAGCCCTCACTACAAATGCCTGATGGTTAGTAACTCCACACACTCTTTTTGTGATATTAGGCTGATTTAAACTTTTATGGATATAGATCATATCTCACGCAATGCTTCGTTTTTCACATCCTGTTGGAAAACAGCATTTCTATAAATACCATTTTATAATCTTATCAAAATGTTACAAATTATGGGCTATGGGCAAGTCATCGATGTAATGCTTTAATTGACTATAGTATAAAGTATAGGTTTCTAATCAAGGCATAGGCTATAAGGAGGGTATATTGTAGGATAGTTGTTCGCCGAAGTAGGAGGAGGAGTAGAGAAATATATAAGTCATAGATAAGGTATAGAGTGGTGAAACAATATTAATGGCAAGGCAACATAGTGTACAGGAGAGTTAAAAGCTGATAAAAAATAAACAAGAAGGAACTCACATTAACTTGGCGCCGTCGTTATCTTGTTCTATCCTAAGCAACTGATGGGTAACACGTTCCACAGATTCAAGATCACTGTTAGTAGGCAGTCGATTTCGCGGTTCTTCTGACTTTTTAGGGTAGTAAGAAGCCTCTCTTAGTGACCGAGTATCGATAGGTTCAGTGAGTTATCAAGTAAAAAATTAGAGAGGAAAAAGTACCTAATACAACTACAAAGTAGGAAAATAAGGCAGTTTGGTCTACACATGTAGAGAGCCTATAATGTCTGAATGGGACGCAGATGTGTTCGTCTGTGCTAGATCTGTGCAAGTGAGGTCTTGACCAATAAGTCTTACAAGCGTATGTAATTCATCTGACATGCGTATTTCAGAGGGAAGACTGTCCCATATTAACGCCAACTTGGTGAGGAAAACGTTTTTCCGAGTGTTTTAGTTCTTATTTACTGGAGCTGGATAGTTTTTGTGTGTCTGTGAGGTGAATATGCAGTGGAGTTGGATCGTAACTACACAATCCTCAAAGCTGAACATGAGACAACTGGGAAAATAGATATTCAGTATTTAACACGGAGAAAATCCAAAGATGGAGAAGGCGGAAACAAAAAATGCAATGAATTCCAATTGATCGGACGGCATGGCTCAGGCTTGCAGGTGTGGTCACTGTTTACTGTTATCTAATATCTTCTATTCGTGTAAATATATTGATCTATCTCTAGACTAATTGTGTTCTTCATCATATATTGATGATTGTTACAACGCGATGAGTTGGTGTAGATAATAATGTGACCTCCACGTAAGATCTTATAGATTAGGCAGTTACATCATGACAAGTCTACAATTTTAGGATTAAGTCTATTATTAGAGCGATACTAATATCACAGTTTACCATAATTCTACAAATACAAGTTCATTCGAGTCATTTTATGTAATGGTTTTGGGTGGACTACTTGACTAAGTTAAGTTGGTTGCATATCGTCATATGGCTCATATTAAAGTAGCTTACTACGCAAACAGTCTGGATTATAATTAGAAATGCCATCATGTGTTTTGGTGTCAGTTGGAATCCGTATCTCATTCATAAATATCTAATCTCCAGATTCATCTAGAACTACAGGGTTTTCTGTCGTTTGTATGTTCACATCATGGTCATGATGAATGTGTTCGGAAATCTTTATATTATTGGAAGTTGCCCTTAGTTGTTTATGAGCTACAACTTTCCTACCGCTTCACGTCTCCTTACAAGACATTGTCAAGATGTTCAGTTTGGAGTAACCTCCATATTTTAATATGTAATCAATGAGTAAATATTTATGCTCGAAATAACAAACTCTTTAGTATCGCTACAGCAGCTAAATTTAAACAGAAGGGAGCATGTTGATCTATCCGATTTTTTCCAAGGCCAGGTGTCTTGACAACTGTCGTTGAGCATACTACATGCTCGAAGGCAAATATCTCTTAGCTTAGACACAAGTTTTGTGACACACTCAGGTTTATTGAGTTGTCCGATAGTAGGCTTAAACCACGTGAAAAAGTGTCACCACTTTCAGAGATCTCTGGGAAATATCAACACTAATAAGATGTTGCTGAAGAATGACTAGAGGTTCAAAGACATTGTGCCCAAACTACAAAGCCATATCAAACTTACATAATACGGTAGAGAACAGTGGTTTTCTTTACGAGTTCTATTGAAAATTTTCAAATTGGTTCAATCTCCGAACTTATTCTCCTAATGTACACTCTGTAGTTACTAATAATGCCTAAACTGTAGACATAGATGCAGTCTTGGAACAGGTAGTTAGGATTGTAACGTGTTTTACGTAAATGTACTGATGCCAAACAATGATATTCATGAACTTAGAGGGGAACATTAACAGTATTTTAAGGTATTTAACAACATTATAAGCATTTATTATGAAAAAAATTCACTAATGTTTCGTAAGGCTGCACAGTCCACTTATCACCCTGAAAAATCCTAGTTACAATGCCTAAACAGTAGAGACGAGCTACGAATACATCTAACTTTATTATTTGACAAAAAACTAGAGAAATTCAACGTATACACTACGTTACCTAACAGTCATTTAAAGATAGACCTTTAAATACAGAAGACGGATTAAAAGTACAGACGTCACGGGCAAACCACCTAGATCTCATTGGTAAACATCGTCCATACATTTAATATACATACTAAATGCTATGCCAGGAGTTTGAAATGACAATCTAGAACGTAGATTTTCACCCTATATCGCCAGACTTCATCAATGATGTATCACTCAGACGGTACTTTGTATTTATAAGATCATATTGTTATTCCTCCTGTATTACGTGGATCTGTCCTTCACAAATTACATAGTGGGTATTTTGATGTTGAGAAAATGCAATATTTCGTAAGGCTCAGATGACGACTACCGTGGATAAATAAGATATATTTTGCACGGCAACACAATTATGAAAAATGTCACAACTTACAAAGTCATCCCCCAAAATGAGCTCCATTGACAGTGTAGTCTGAAGTCTGACAGGGAACCTATGCAGAAACATATATCTAATGGTTTTACTGGGAAATAATACAGTCCAACAGTCCATCGTAATGTGCAGTAGCCTATAAAGGTATACGAAACAGTCATATTCTTCAACCAAAAGCTGAAGTTATTAAAGTAGAAAGAACAATACAGCCATTTTTTATTTACACGCTGAGAGTAGCAGAAGTACTACTTAATTATTATGTAAACTCCACAATTGTTCCCAAAAAAGTTGACATCGCATATCCGTATGACTACATAAGAACCTTATAAGAAGGATCTACTGTATTTATTTATTGTTTTGAAGATTAATTAAACTCAATGTCACCGCACTTGCTTATCTCAAGTTTCCTTGTTTAAATCATTCATTTCGTAAAAAAGCTGTTACGTGGGTAAATTTTTGTTGGTGTTTCTATAGCGTGGTTTTGTGCGAATGGGGAGTGAGGCATTTGTTGCGATCCACCTTCGATTTCACTTATTCGTATGATACTGTAATGTCATTGTTTTATTATACTAGTGATTCGGGAGTACTCATGTGTAATAATCCCTTAAATGATACACCGTGTCTAATCACGTTAAATGTAACTTCAACCTACTTAAAAATAAGATAGTTTTAAAAATAGCTTGGCTTCAGCAAATATATATATATATATGGCATTTGCTTGTGGTTACTATAATATACCTGCAACTACATATATCAGAAATCACGTAGGGGTCGTCGGAATGTTCACGGGATTCCACTCCCTCGTTTTAAGTCAATAAAAACATGAGTCAGATGATCTGTCTGAAATTCTTCCAAAGATCTACCTTAAAATGCTTGCGTAAAACGTTGACTATACAAAGGCGAAGATTATAAGTGAATGAGAAATATACGGACACTATCCAACTGACACGAATATCAGTCCTCATTAATTTGGATGAATTCTGATCTAAACGTCTTTTGCAGATACATATGACATCTCATGGCCATAAACAGTAGACTGACTAGTCAGTGACTCCGTGCCATGGGAAGCTGTCATTGTAAATATTTATGTAATCACTAGAATTACTTGATAAGATCAACAGTTTGGATGGTGGTACCTTATAAAATGTAGTATTGAAAGCCTTGCGGTGGTGTGAAGCTAGTCATAGTTAAACTTTGTATGGGAGCGTTCAGATATTTTTTGTTGACTGATAATTTAAAACTGCTCCTGTATACATTCGTAATTAAGAATTGTGGATGTTTGTATTCTTGATGCTCCTGAAACCATGTATGCGGCGTTGAAAGGAAAAAAACAGTATAGTTCTAAATAAAGATAAACTTTACAACGAAATTATACTAGCTGTCGCTTTGGAATTAAAGATTCCATGCCAAAACATCTCGTGAATAATACTAAAGAAAAGACATCCCATTCAGCTGGGATTAAATAGACAAACATGAACATTGTTGTGGCTATTACTAATGGAGCGCAAAATTGTCGATCTAGTCATTGTGACGTTAGAATGCTTATATGTTTCATTACACATTGTTTCTGTGTTGCTTCTCATTCTTGCTCGCATTTTCAAAAACACCTCTTATTGCACGTTTGTAGATTTTAAGGAGTCAGTGAATCGCCTGAATTTCTGTTTGTTTGTCTTTCTAGTACTCGCGTCGACCAAGCAATATATCGCTGCTGACCTGAAGCACGTTTTCCTCACTGCCAAAAACGTGTCCAAGAATAAAAACAAACCCGTTAACAATTTGTAGTTGCACCATGTTTTCTGTATTGGTGTCTTGTGGTACATATGATGGTAGTGTTTTTACGTTAGAATATCTCTATGATACTATTGATATTGCTGGTCCAAAACTGTTAAAACCACTATTCATCGACCCTACAGCACATCCATCGCCGGTCACAACAGTAGCTACCAAAGACGATGTGGTTATATCTGGAAGTAGCGATGAAATTATTCAGGTTAGTTCACAAGGCTTTGAATTTTTATGTACATGCACTGAACAGTGTTTTAAGACTATCCCACTCTCTGTATTTGTTGGATTGCATCAAAGTAAGGAGCGACCGGATAATTGTGACCTATTATTTCTCCGCATCGTACCTTTGTTTTCCCGGTTACAGAGCTATAGCTTTTACCAGTACCACTATCAGGACACTATAGTGGTATTAGATATGTTGCGATCTAATGGTCTCTTCTACGATAATAACTTTCTCATGTTAACTAGATATTGTTCTGGTTGTAATTGCAAACCAATCATAGTAACTATGAGTTGTTTTCTGTTTAGTGAATATAAAACATTCCCCACATTTATGCCTACTTAGTGTATTGGCGTCACAAAAATAACCAAGCAAGCATGTTGGTTTCTGGTTATTATAGTGGCAAATTTACAGTTGGGAGGAAAAACAAGTTCCAATGATCAGCAGCAGGCTAGTTCTCATCAAATCACCCAAGTATTTATTATTGTGTAGTGATTTTTTGCAATAGTGACACAGAAATTTCCTCAATCTTGTTTTGTAGGTATTTTCAGTACACACAAAAACTCGTGTAGGTGCACTCGAAATGCATGTTGGGACCATAAGACAGCTTAAATTTATTACAGAATCGCATGACTCGACGTACTGTCATTTCTTCAGTGCTGGTGATGATGGATGTATTGGCATCTGGCGTTGCGAAACCCCAGGAGGTAAACTTACCAAATGCCCACATCCATCGGCTTGGGAGTGTATTCGTCAAATTCGTCGCCATAAAGGATCAGTTCAAAGTATAGCAGTGCACCCTTCCAATCGCTGTCTTTTCTCCATCAGTGCAGACAAAACGTTTCGTGTGTGGAATCTTCTTCGTGGTCGACAGGCTTATGCTGTTAGACTGAAGAATCTGGCAAACGAGGCAAATAAGATCTCAATGTCACCAACTGGTAACCGTCTTCTTTTTATTTGGCCGAATAAATTTGAAATGATTGATCTTGTCAGCGAATCGCAGACAAGTCCCGATACTATCAAAAATGAAGCTTTCATTCTTGGCAGCGTCCAGTTTTCTAATCCCCCTACTTCAGACCCTACTTTTTTCAGTGAAGATGATGAACTCTGTAATCAAAAGTCTTCAGACCCCCTGTTTGCATATGTAATGGTTGGCATTGACGCATCACTTACTTTGATTAAATTCAACATTCGAAATAAGGCGTCTGAGTCATGGACACCTAAAATTACAAGCAAAGTAGTTTTGCCGGGTAAACGAATCAAATTCATTCAAGTTCTACACTGGCCATCTCATATGGAAGAGAAAGAACCAATGTGCTCTGGACGTAGTCGGTTGGTAGTAGTTGTTACGACAGAAGCCGATGGTAGCCATATACGAGGTTATGCTGTAAACCTCAATTCGACAGACATCCTTGAGCCAGGAAGGTCATTCATCCCTTTGTTCACATATGACATCCCAAGCGCTCGAATTACCGCCCTAGCTGCCACCTGGACTTCAACAAGTTATATGCATCATTCGGAGGTATGAAGACAAAATCAATCCCTAGTGAAATTGATTTTGAATAACATCTACCTGTACATTTATTATGTAAATAAAATCTCGTGATTTTCCGATTTCATCCGTATTAATTACATCCAATTCATTAAACATGTAGCCTGACAATGACGGAGATTGTCGAACGTACTTACGCAAAAGTCGACCCATCCTAACTACATATATTTGACAGCAGAAACTGCTGTTTAACAGCATGGGGCTGTAGTGGCTGATGAAATAAACAAGTTAACTACGTGCCTGAGACATTGATATTCTTGAATCTATGCACTATGTTTTGCATATTGTAATGATTCAAAGATTCCGAACCCAAACACATCTGTAGCTAAACCACTCCTTGCCTCTCGGGATTGGGTCACATGCAATCGACTTGCTGACGATTCTCTAAGCTAAGTGCAGTGTTTGCTGCAAAATTGGGGCTTTTTTATAACCAAGGCCAAATAGACGTATTAGGCGTCTATTCACTATGCCGAGCTTCCTTCAATCATGGACAAATGTCAAGAACTAGATGGAACGTACACGTGTTTATGTTATTGAACCATGTTTAAATGAAGTATGTTTTCCCGCACCAGTTTACAATTGCTTTTAAAAGGCATCAAAGGCGTTTCTAACATATATTTATGTCGAGGATAATAAATAAAGAATCCATTGTTGGCGTTTACAACAAATTGAGTGACCTGTGTTATAGTAAAAGAAATTACTTTGGAAGATTCGCAGCTGTTCTGAATTCATACTGAGTAGACCCAACTTTCCATTTTGGGAACTAATTACCCTAAAAAAAGAACTACAAATTCATACACTCAAAGAAATATAGCTATTATATTTAGCTATGTTGCGTTTCAAAATATCTGAACACGGACCCATGACACGCTCAAATCGTTTGCGGTCAAGTTTCACGCAACGTAAAGTACCTTGGGCAACAACAGTTGCTGCACGTGGTCGATCAAGCAGTAGAGCAATCTCACCTATGTAAAATAAATTTAAAGAGTCAAATAATTACGTGCGTAGAAAATTGGTAATATATTTAATTCTAACAGAAATTGCTAACAGTACGACTTTTTACGGTGTTATTGTATGAAATATAGTTGTATTACTGGGGAACATATACCAACGTGTGTCAAGGGGACAAGTAACTGATAGTTGTGCGTTACGATTTATGAGCTAAAATATTCTCCGGTTATTCGAATATTAGATTCTAGAAATGTGCCACTTTCTAATGTTTACATCACTTGATTTAGTAGCGACTTATGTCACAAAATGGGCGAATTCAGAACTAGTTACAGAACGATTAGATGTAATAGGATCAACGAGTTATGTAAACAAGATAGCAGAAAGTCTTACTGTCTTCAACTTAGCCAGAAATTCTTTGAAGTAACAAGTCCGATATAGTACGATGAAATAAAGTAGTGATGCGAACAAGCAATTTTTAGTGACATGTCGGTTCCTCGGAATTTCTCTTCAATGTGCAAACAGAAGAAAAACTGAAAATGCTACTAAACAGCAGCTTGACAGTTCGACTGAACACTAGAAGTCGACTTACAGTCCAGTGCAAATATTGTAACCTGTTACACATCTAGGATCAGATTCACTGTATCTATGATTTCCAAATATAGTCTCGAAATGCTCCCACATGACCACGCGTATACAGCCACTGCTAGGGAAGTCCTACTCATCGCCTTCTCGCGGCTGGGGTGTTGTTTACGAAATTGACAGGACGAAAAGCGAATGTCCGGCGCTTTAACCGGGTTGGTGGACACGGAGGACCCAGCTAGGGGAGTTGGAAAACCCTGATCCCAAACTACTGGTGCACATGGGCTCCAGGATCATGATGGAACAAATGGCGTATGAACCAATTATTGATCACCTGCTACTATGGGACTGCACCTCCTGGCGTTGCTCCACTGCCTTGTGGATCACACCTTTAGGCCGAAGGCTCCGGGCGTGACCCTTTGAGAAAATCACCTGCTTCGGTCTGGATGCTCGAGTAGTATCACAGCCCACACACAAATCAAGTGACTTGTATGGTGCACATGTATTCGATGCCCATTTGTACCAATATTTATGTGTTTAAATAAATAAATAGAAACCGAAAAATCAACGGTGAGGTGTGCCGAAAATAACATCTAAATGGAGTATTATTTCCATAAATATACGCATATCAGGGAAGTGAAGCAGTTTCCCGCCAGAATAGAATTGGTTTAGTCAAAAAATGTAGCCCACTCATCAAACCAAGCCCTATATTTTGAGTCAGTTTTTTATTCAGATGAGTGACGTATTTATTGAAACGCACCAGTAAAATACATCAAGGACGAGGTCGTATGTTCATTTTACTAGTAAGGCATCCTTAAGTTAAACACTATTTTGTCAAAATAAGCTGCTCATGTAGATGAAACAGCGAGGTATATACACTACTTATTTATCGACTAGACAATTAACTTTATAACAACTTATGTCTTTATCTAAATTTTCTCGCTAAACTCTACCATAAACCCTTCAGATGACTTTGGCGGTTCGAACTCACCGAAAGAGATTTTCTGTTTTTTCGATTACATGTGGTTTATCATATTACCTGGAATAACGTGTTCTGAGGTTTATTAGAACGAAAACTTTTATCTTCATCGGATTACACAACACATGAATGGCTCGATAGTAAATAATAACTGGTCTATTTTACATTCAACGTGATTAAATTATCAATGAGTACCAATACTTAACAAAGATAAAGGTGGACAATACAATATTGGTCGATCCGAAGAAGTGAGTCAACGATCAACTAATAAGACGTGCGCAGGAAAACTCCACAATATGTTAGGTTCTCATGAGTAACATACTTTAGATTGCACGAATCTAAGTCCTTTTTGTCTTGCACCTTACCGTAATGGAAGAAGCACTTTCTAAAATACCAGTCCACAAACTTTTGTAAATGTCAATGTTTACTCCACTCCGTCCCAGCATTTTTGAGTGCATTTACAATTTACTCTTCAAGATTCTTGTAATTTACCTGAATTCACGAATGAAAGGATAAAAACTATTGAAACTCATTTATTTGCTTAAGCGTTGAACGACCTGAAACATGTTGACTTTCATTCAATTAATATAAATTAGGTGTATGATTGCTTTCACATGATAGAATAGACAAGGTTATACTCTAAAGACCTAGAGAATTATCACTTTCGTTTAATGAATTCGAACTAGATTGTATTCTAATTTCGTACTTTAAACTACAGATTTATGGTTAAAAAAACTAAGTCGATAATGTCCAGAACTCTAGATTGCAATTATAATAAATTATTTGTGGTGAGTGCTAAGTTTCTAGTGTTTAATGAGATGTATAGCTTCACGACGTAACAAAGCGTTAAATTGTGTGCTTTGATACCCTATGTTAAGCTAACAACTTATACAAATTCTTTAGACAAATAAAACACTTACCAAAATAGTCTGATGGTCTTAATTTACCGACTTCAACTTGTTCACCCGATTCAGACGGCCTTTGCAAAACAGCAGCTGTACCCTAGGAAGAAGCAATTAAACAGAAGTAGTAATTATAACACCGATTCAGTTTATTTATTATTCTGACATAAACCACAAAAAAAGAACATAAAAATAAGATCAGTCAGCTACAACGTAGGACCGGTACAAGTTGCCACACCTCATTAACACAACAAGATGAACACCGGATTCATTAACGTAGTTAATTCAGAGGTGGTAATATATAAAAGAAAGATTGCATATAAGGATACAGTACAGGAAGAAAGAATTAGTTCGTAGAAACAAAGATATGAAGCGATTTTAATCTCTTAGTCTAAGGGAAGAAAGATAGTGTATACACCTACGCAATTGTGATCGATTCTGAGCCATGTCACCACGAGTCTCCAACCATTGGTTACGATAGTCACGCGGACCCCAACCAAGTAGTCTGCATCTACCAACATGGCTCAGAATACAAGTTAGTGACTTCAAGCACTGATGCCACGTTTTTGGTTTGGCCACATCTAACTTTCTTCCAACCATCTCCATCTGAATCCGTGCTGAGGTTTCGTCAGACCAACTCATTAGGGATGATCAGACTTCCAAGATAACTGAAGTTGTCGGCTCGTAGCCTATTTTACTCCCTATCCTTAGTTCAGATGAATACGCAGACCAGTCCTGAAGCAACGACTTGCATTTAGAGGGAGAGAAGCGCATACCAAACATCCTGACATTGTTGCTTAGTGCCACTAGAAGACTGCATTTTATCAGCGTCTTCACCAAACAGGACTATATCCTCTGAGTATTCTAAGTCGATAAGTGGACCCCCTGGAAGGAGATCAATGCCAGAAAATTCAGTAGACAGAAGCGTTATTATCATCAGTAGGTCTATGATGAACTTAAACAAAAATGGAGAAAGTGGACAGCCTTGACAGACACCATTTGAGGTTGCAAAAGCAGATGACAGTTCGCCATAAGCTCTGACTCGATTGGTAGTGTTCGAGTAAAGAGCCTTCACAAGGTTTATGTACTTCTGAGGTATGCCTTCCAATGACAGACACTGTCACAGAATCTCACGGTCTACGGAATCAAATGCTGCTTTTAAGTCAAGAAAGACCACCATTGCCGGACGCCGATAAGCATGCCTGTGTTCTAGAACCTGACGAATGGTGAATATGTGGTCGATGCAGCTACGACCAGGTCTGAAACCAGCTTGTTTCTCTCGTGTTTGCAGTTCACGGGTCTTAGTTATGCGTCTGATAATTATCGAGGCTAGTATTTTAGATACTATATTAGTTAAACTAATCCCTCTATGGTTGTCACAGGATGATTTTAACCCTCTCTGATATATTGAGACGATAAGTGATTGTGACCAGCCAGATAGGATAACGTCTAACTCCCAGATTCCAGCTAAAATATTAGTCAACCTAATCGCTAAAATTGGACCACCATCCTTAAAGACCTGGAGCCAGTCCATCTAGACCAGTTGCCCTTCCTCGTTTCAGATTAACTATAGCCTTTTGAACTTCAACTAGAGTTGGGGGACCTACTTCAATGTTCCATTCACATTGATTTGTTTTCGCTCTTCATTGTGTTTAGAGCCTGATGGGATGAGTTTACGAAAATCCATCATTACAATAGACCTTGAGAAAATCCATTGGTTCTTTGTAACCCTGTGATTTAAATCACTGATAGATGTCACTGCTGTTTGTATAGCTTTCCAAGCAACATCTGGGTCAGCCTCTTTTTCAGAACTACCTAATTGTGACCTCAGTTGTTCCTGGAACCTACTTTTGGTTTTCTCGCTACTCATTTCAGTTCTAATGTGTCTTTTTTGCATCCAGTGAGGCGCAAGCAGATGCGTGCCCGTATTAGGGCGTGGTCGGAGTCGAAGCAGGTACACCAGAATGAGCGACAATCTTCTACCGACCCTCTCCAACGATGACTGACGGCAATATGGTCTATTTGAGTTCATCGTTGGTTTGGTGTAGGGGGTCGCCATGTTAGACGATGTCTCTCCTTATGCTTAAAATTTGTATTTGCTAAAAATAAACGATTGTCTGAGCACAGTTGCAGCAAACGACCACAATTATCTGTTCGTTGTGCTGGAAAACTAAAATACCCACCTAAATGCCTTTCTGTTTGGTTTAAACTACCTATCTGGGCATTAAAGTCTCCATTAAAGTCACCTGCTACGAGTACTATGTCTGAATGTTTAGCTTTCTGAAGAAGTTCAAATAGCTTTTTGTAAAACTCATCTTTCACTTCATCTGAGCTGCAGTCGGTGGGAGTGTATGCAAGTTGCTTCAAAGCAAAAAGTGATTATAAATGGTCTAGAAATATTACCAACCACTTAGTGACTGATTCCGAAGATGATAAGTAACATTACCACATAACTATGTATAGTCCTGTTTCAGAATTGTAACAAAACGGAAAGTGTCTTTGACCAAGCGAAAATACGGTCCCTGATCAGATTAAGATGGTTGATTAATACTATCAGATCTTTAGACCAGTAAAGTCAAGCTTCTGCCACTGTTAGATTCGAGAACAGCTGGGTTTCTATACAAAAATGCTGAACCACATCACAATATAAGACAGAAAATAAATTACACACAAACAAGCTAAAAAAGGATGTGAATAAAATGAGCTGGGGAAAACTGACTGGTAATAATTTAGAAACAATAGGCCTCATAATAAAAAATTCCAGGCCAAACAGAATATAAAATAAAGTAATTCGGTCACTCAGTAATCATACAATAATGATACATATAATATTAATCCATAAAGCGACTCCGCCTGTAAGTCTTCTAGAGCTACCGCTGGTCCCAAAGCCGGGTAAAGCAGGAGGATTGCGCATGGGGTCGGCAACCCCATTCTGTAGAAAACAACCTTGCTAAAAAACACCAACCAGAACAAACAAATTAAAACATTTAAGCTCTGCCCTCCGAGTTGAAGGAAGAACTATGACGTCTCACGATGAAAACCAAGATACTTCGAGAGTCACAAGACCGATGTCCCTTCTAATAACCAGAGCAACAGTTTTTATAGGTACATGGAACGACCGCACAATGTGGGACACCGGAAGGACTAGTCAAATAACAACGGAAATGAGGAGATACAACTTAGCAGTACTCGAAATCAGTGAAACTCATTGGACCTAAGCTGGACAGAAAAGGTTAGATACGGGAGAGATGTAGCTGCACCGAATATGAAGGTATCATGGGACGACATGGATTGGGAGAGAAACGAAAATGGGGAAAGATTTGCAAGCCTATGTGCACTCAACAAATTGGATATAGGTGGCACAAAGTTCCCACACAAGCACATACACACAGCTACATGAGTCTCACAGGAGAATCAGATAGATCATATTTGTATCATTGAAAAATTCAGAAGGACAATGGAAGACGTGAGAACCAGGAGAGAAGCTGACAGACTGGAAAAAAGGACGACTCATCAAAATACCAAAGAAAGGGGATCTGAGCAAATGTGAGAACTACAGAGACATCACATCATTGTTAGTACCAGGAAAGGCTTTAATAGAGTGTTGCTCAACCGGATGAAAGACGCAGTAGATGCCCAACTTCGAGCTCAACAGGCTGGATTCCGTAAGGACCGGTCGTGCACAGACCAAATCACAACACTACGGATCATCGTTGAACAATCAATCGAATAAAGCTCGCCACTATACATCAAATTCCTTGAATATGAAAAAGCATTGGACAGTGTGGATAGGAAAACATTATGGAGTGCCTGAGAAGATCGTCCGGAGAACATCACCTGGAACTCGCACGACGAACTACAGTGCAAAGTCGTGCATAGAGGACAGTTAACAGACGCTTTCCAGGTGAGGACCGGAGTCAAAAACGTATGCTTACTATCTCCCTTTCTCCTTCCTCCGGTAATGGACTGGATTAAAAAGATCTAGAAACCTGAAAGGAAACACGGAATAGAACGGACACCTCGCAATAAATCAGAACATATAAACTTCGCAGATGACCTGGCCGTTCCATCCCATACACACGAACACATGCATGTCAAGACAACCAGCGTGTCAGAAACCTCTGCATCAATAGGCCTGAACATATACAAGGGAAAATCCAAGATTCTCAAATACAACACAGGACACCAACCCAACCACACTTGATGAAGAAGCTCTGGAAAATGTGGAATCTTTCACGTATCTGGCCAGCAGCACCGTCGACGAACGTGGAGGATCCGGTGCAGACGTAAAGGTGAGGATCGGCAAAGCAAGGGCGGCATTCCTACAAGTGAAGAACATATGGAACTCAACACAACTGTCAACCAATATCAGTCACAATCTTCAATACGAACGTCAAGATAGTTCTACTGTACGGAGCTGAAACTCGGAGAACTACTACAACCATCATCAAAAAAGTACAAGTATTTATAAGCAGAAGGCGGATTAACACACTGTCGGGAGTCAGAAGCAGACATGAAAAGGATGAATAGCAACTGGAAAGGATTTTCCAGCACAGGGTTGGATGGAGAGTGCTGGTGGGTGGCCTATGCTCCTCCACGAGTGATAGCAGGTATAAGTAAGTAATTCATAAAGCAGTTACAGTAGTTACCATTCTTCCAGTCTTAGTTCCGATGCATCACATATTATATGACCAAGACGCTTGGAAGGAAATATGATAAAGCAAAGATATAATTTGCGAGCGCAGAAGCAAAACTAGCTACTGAGGCTTAAGAACAGCAGAACGAGCAGGTATTACACTTCGAAGGGCTCTTGATTAGACCAGGACCGCTAAGCTCACTGGATATTGAGGTGAGACACACAGACCTACCTGTAGATGATAACCCACTAACAGTAGAAAAATCTAGAAAATTCATCAGACGGGCCGGGAATGGTAAAGCAGAAGGATCAGAGAGCACACCAACCGAGGTGCAACGTCAAGTATGGAATAAACTGTGAATGTATTTTTTGTTCTTTCCAGAAAGATTTGAGGTGAACAACACATAACAGACTGGAAAGTAGGACGCTTCGTTTACATACCAAAGAAAGGTCTTAATATTTATCAGAACACACTATCCGTACCAGCTACGGATTTCAAAAGTGTTACTAAACCGAATGAACAATCAATAGACACCTGAATTACAGATCAACAACCTGTCATTCCTAAGGATGGGTCATATACGGATCAAATTGTGACACGTCGGATCATTGATGAAGAGTTTATTGAATGGAACTCATGGTTACAAACTTACTCCCTCTACATTCACAAGGGAAAAAGCAAAATTCTGAAGCACAACACACAGAGCACCGACCAAATCATACTTGATGGAGAAACTCTGGAAGAGGTGGAAATTTCGACATACCTGAGCAACATCATCGATAAACCAGGAGTATCTGATGCAGATGTAAAAGCACGATTTGACACCACAAGGGCAATATTCCTACAACTGAAGAATATCGGGAACTCAAAATAACTACCACACAATACCGAAAGAAGAGTCTTTAACATTAACATTAGAACAATTAAATAGTATAAAGCTGGAAATTAGAGAACTGCCACCACCATCACCAAAAGAGTAAAAGTACTCAAACAACGGTCGATGTGAAGTACACCAAACCCAACAGCCAGACACAAAAGTGATAACCTACAGTGGAAGAGAACTAACAAGCTCACAGTTGACAAGAATAGAAAAGACACTGAACGTGTATGGAACACACTTTCATTTAACTATCAAACTGTATCGAAAAGGAAACACCAACATGGAATCCCCAAGACATAAGAAGAGGAAGATCTAAAGACATAGCGCCTGGAGTCGGACGCAGAATTCATGATTATGAATAGCACTTGGTAACAACTGAAAAGGAAAACCCAGTACAAAGTTAATTGGAGATCTCTGGTTGACAGCCTATGGTTTAAGAAGGGACAACAAACTTCAGTTAGTACATCTGTACGGTTTGTGATATTATGAACACACTTTATGGGATTTCGCAAAGCACATCACTCAGTTTGGAATGATGTCAGTAGGTTTGCAGATTCTAAATATCTAATATTATGTCAATAACAAATGGCAAAATATATTAGCCACAACAAGAAACAAGTATCTTGTCTTAAGAAGTAAAGAACTGTACCTCTGTAATAATAAAGAAGTCATCACCATGTTCACCTTGACGTACAACAACTTCACCATCTTCGAAACGGACTGGTTCGAGAGCATCTGCTACAGTTAATCGTTCCCATTTGTCAAGATTATCTATAATGAAATTCAAAGATACCATATATATATATATATATATATATAGTGGCAGAACTTGGAGATAAACATTCGTAAGGAGATAAATACTGGAGGTTATTTCGGTACAGGACGTTTGTTGAAATTATTTAGTTTGCAGCTAGCATCACGAATCGACTTTGTCTAAGGAACGAAAACCAGAAATACCTATAATCATCTTACTCTTGTATGTGACTCAACATGTGTTTTAGCGTACGCGTATCAGGCCTTTAAGCAAGCACGTTGACTACAGACTTAGCATCCAAAAGCGTTGATTTTTAATTTCATTACGTTCACGAGAATCCGTCGAACAATATGAGCAGATATGAAGCAATTATTATTGATATTTACTGTGCTTTTCCTAACTGAACTGCTTAGTGGGTTTTTGTCATTTCAGAAGGTAGTGTAAACAAACTTATATTGTATGACTTTAAGATTCTTTGGTGAATCTAATCGACATTGTAGTTACAGACACTACGGATAGTCACGTAATTTATCAATTCGCAACAACTGGAAGTAATTTAGATTGTAATGTTCCCGAATTGACCATGTGTTCATCCGATTATAGTTGATGAAATAACACTAGAAGTCTATAATCGCCTATAATTTGAAATGATTCAGAAAAACATATCTTACTTATTTATTTGAACACATAAATATTGGTACAAGAGAGCGCCAATATATATGCGCCACACAAAACAATGAGAATACGAAGAGAAAATAAAAAAAGGGGCGTAAAAAAAGAGAACAATAACGAAGAGATTTGTGTAACGTAGTGTGGTAGTAATGAAGGAACGGAAATGTACAATCGGAAAACATCTTTCAGGTAAGGGAGACACAACCACTTTTTATGAAGAAAGTAAATGAAATGTACAGCAGGATCGCCACTGGCTTCTATTCTGAGCCATATCTGATAACGTCTCTAGCCACTGTGTAGCACCATCTCTCGGACCCCAACCAGGGAGTCGTGACGGACCAACAGAAGCCAGTCCTTTGCAGCTTCCTTTTATACCACGACACCATGCCATACACTAACTACCTCTCTACTTTTTTCCAACCAGTGCCAGAGTCGGCAAATAATGCACAACCTGGAATTCTCTGGGACGACAATCGTAGAACATGTTCAAGTCACCGAAGTCCGTGTTTCAAGATGGTGACACCAATTGAATTCTATAATTCAGAGACGCTTAAACAAAATCTCAATAAAATACTAAAAATAGATATTCTATCAAGTGTACCAGTGAGATAAAGAGTTTGCAATGGAGAGTCCGATCTGTCCTAATGGTTAGCTGCCTAACGAAATCTACGCACGGATTCAGAAAGATCGACTGGCTTTTGCCAACTCGCGTCACTTGTGGCGTAGGCGAGATATCCATCTGTTAAACAGACGACGAGTTTACTGCATATTAGTCCTCTTCGTTCTATTTAATGGGTGAAATATGGTCATTAGGAATAGAAGGTATTCGTTGGTTAGATGTCTTTGGAGCATCGTTTTTATATGTTGGGACCACCGAATACAAATTGTCAGAGTTAGTAATAGAGTACCAGGCAAAGATGGTAAATAGATTGATGAGGTAGTAAATCTGCCCCAACTGAGGTGGTTGGGACATGTTACGCGTACTCAACCACCGCCTACCTCGACGAGCGATGTTGTGCGGTATGGTAGTAAGTTGGAAGAAAACTAGGGGTGGCCAAGCCAAAACATGGCATCACTCCATGAAGTCATTGACAATTGCTCTGAACTATGTTAACAGGTGTAGACTACTTGATTTGGGTTCGCGTGATTGTCGTAAACAGTGGTAAGAAAATTGAATGACATGGCTCAAATCGTTCACAATAGCGCAAGTGCATCGACTCTTTACCATTCTTCCTATCACGAGTTTCTGAATTCGTCATAACTTTTTTGTTTCACCAATTTATATCTTGAATCATATCTTTGATGCCTAATCTTTCCTATCACCACTGATACTGTTACTAACTCTCCTACTCTATGATTTGACATAATAATTTTAACTTGCTGTGATAGTGAGGTGAGGCAATTTGAAACGATGTACATATGTGCCAGGTTCTACGTTGCGTTTGACTGACTGGCCATCTGTCGATTCGAACAGCTTGTTTCATGTGCATTTATTCGGCAACCTTGTGGCATCTTTGTTCGGTTTTTCTGTCTTTGGTGTCACCATATATGCCGTGTTAGAATCAGCACCCATCGACTGGATCGCCATTAACACCGGGTTATATACTGTTAGATTAGAAAGCTTCATCAAAGTAATAAGAAATCGGTGCGGAAAACTATATCTTTTAGTCATTTCCGCCTACACCCCGACATACTGCAGTCCCAATGCTATCAAGGATGAGTTCTACCACAAGTTAAATGGTTTCAAGAAAGCCCATTCGATATATATTGTAGTACTGGCCTGAGATTTGAATGCAGAAGCCAGGCGTCTAGACACAGAGAAGAGTTGTTTGGGTGGCCAATGAGGACTCGGTCTCAGGTCAGATAACGCCGACTGTCTCCTACAGTTTTGTACAGACCACAACCTGTTTCTGGTCAGGATCAGCTTTCAGTACAGTCATCCCCGTTGTGCCACCTGGTACCATCCCTCTGCAACCCAAGTCTAGACTCAGACCGATCACATCACGACCAGCCGCCGTTAGAGTGGTTGCCTTATACCTATGTTTCTACGAACTAATTCGTTCTTCCTGTATTATATCCTTATACCCAGTCTTCCTTTTATATATTACTACCATTGAAGTAACGACTTCTATGAATTCGGTGTTCATCTTGTTGTGCTAATGAGGTGTGGTAGCTTAGACCGATGCATATATATGCCTGGTCCTATATTGTAGTTGACTGACTGGAGTGGTTGTGTACAAGGCTGGCGCCCCTTTTCGAGTACTTATCTGAACTTTGGACGTTTCAGTGGTCGGTAAATTCATTGTCCTAGAAGAGATAATGTAAGCGAACCTAATGTAACTCCAATCGTAAAACATATCAAACGTAACTAGATTCAAGTCTAGCTGTCAACCCACCGAAAAGTGTAGATGAGCACTGGCTGCATTTACATGATGCTATGAAAATGGCGAGTAAAGTCTCTTGTGGCTACGCAAAACTTCCCATACATAGGCACTAGGTTTCTACAGGTTCCCTACAATTTCTCGAGGCACGTCAGTCTACTTCGGTCAACCGCAAGTTTGACGATAAACGTCGATTCGTGCGTAGTGAAATTGCGAAGTTTATGTAAGGACCGTGACGCCCGATTGTCTGGGTGCTCCAAGGAGTTGGAAGCAGCAGATCGATACGGAAGCTGTTCCAACCCACCCGAGGCACTGGTAACGAGAAGTCTGTTGTGAATGAAATAATCTGTGAAGCCGGTGATACTTCTGTTGGTAGCATTCAACGGTATTTTGGACAATGGACAGGGCTTTTTGAGAAACAATTCGGTTGGTCTGTCACCCCAACAGCATCGCTTAGATATTTGTCCTTCCTAGTCGGTGATGACTGTCCTCCCAACGAGGCGGAGGTCTCCAAGGATCTCTCGCTTTTGAACCGCCATAGGCCATCAGGGCCAAAGGATCTATCCCAGATTCTTTATGAGGATAGCGGTGAACTTCTGACTGAGTTGTTTGAAAATATATGGGAAACAGACTATACTCCTTGCTCCTTTTTTTACCCTACTATGTTATGTGTGTGTCTGTGTGGCGGACTCTATTTATATGCACAGTCGTATTAGAACTCTCATTTGTAATTAAATACATAAAGTAACTGGAGCGTGATCTAACTTTCTACCTATAAGATGGACATAAGTGTGCACATCATGCCTACATTGTGATATAATATTTGCGTAAATACGTTCATTTGCTTATATTTATATATGCGTGTTAAAGTCTTGCTTATTCAACCCAATTACTTCGTTTGCCTAGTATTTTTCGGACACTAGTCTACTCAACTGGTTCTTGTATCAGAACACGGCCTGTACAGGAACGTAATTATATTCTAAAGCAAAACAGCAAGTTAAATAAGTTGACGTTACAATAAGAATTCATGTTTACGATTTTTACACAGGAAGATTCTAGAGTCTTCGCCACTCATCCACTAGCTCTGGTGGGCCCACTTTGTCCAATTTAAGTTAAAGACTTTATAAATTGGAAAAAACTACCTGGTCAACTTATCTTTTACTTTGAAACTTTTTATTCGATTGACTTTCTAAAATCTGGTTTTACATTTATTTAGTGATATATTTGATGCCATGTTCCCTGTACATCGTAATTCAGGCGATGTGATTATTCAGCAAGGAGATGAAGGTGATAATTTCTACATAATCGACCAGGGCGAGGTTGATGTAAGTTGAATATATGAAGTTATATTTTTTTATTCACGTACACGGTTTCTCAGTAAACGTATATCATTATTTGTTAAGAGTTGCACGTTTATCACAATTTGTTAATAAGGAGTAGTGATAACCAAATGCGAGTAATCCATGTATGGAAAATATTTTACCGCAATGTTGTAATCACTATCGACTTTCTTAGACTCAAGTAGTCAGTGATTTGCCTTGTATAGTTATGTGAAATGTAATATATCATAGACGTGACAAATTTAGTAATTGAGCAGATCAAAACTTAAATATAGTTAACTAATTTCTGTAGAATCAGGAGGTAATATCAAACTGATGGTATGTTAACCCATTTGGGCCTGATATCAAGGGATTTGGAGTGTCTTAGTTAACTGATACATGAGGGTCGGATAACTTTTACATGATCCTATCATTTTAGGATTATATATATTAGAACGTTTGTAATAAAAGACACGAAAGTTTCGTACATATCAGTTCATCGTGAGAATGGAGCACTTTGAATATTGTATATCATTCCTTATTTTCGACCACACTTATCTTAGAATTTGAATTGTAGTAACATATACAGTCAACTTGTATTCACCAGAATGATTTGTTGACAGTCCTTACAAGTAGGCTTTTTGTATGATTGTATGGATCCACTTCTGTAAGGGTAATTTTGAATAAATTCCATGAGAATAAAGAGTTTTGCGCAATAATCCAACGAAGATTGACAGCCCCATCAGCCCTAGTGTTTTGTTGTCTGGAAACATATTGACACATTCAGAAAAGACCTCTTGGTCTTTACTAACTTCAGTCGCTTGTATAGTTACTATTAAGAACAGTTTTAAAATGATCATCCTAAAGTTTTTCTGATTTTCGACAACATACATTTTATAACTGACATAGACAATGTGCTTTCCGAACACAAGATTTTGAGCGTATTATTATGGTGAATATTTTTTGGACTCAGAATCACCCATTTCAATATTTCACAATAATAAAAAAGAATGTTTTATATAAGGATGATTGTGGATATGTTTCACATGCTAGATCAAAGTAATGAATAATAAAAATCTCAGAAGAGTAATGAAAGACATACCTAAAATAGGTACACGACATAGGAATTCCTGATACACTTTTCGACGACGAATAGTACTCCCCATCAATATTCTTCTATAAGAATCTCGATCAATACCCCATAATTTAACTTCCGTTTTCGCTCTAACTGTAGCTGCTCTAGGCGTACCGTAGATGAGAGCTAATTCACCGAAACTACCTCCTTCCCCGATTGTACTACTATACTCATTATTGAGGAAGATCTATTTAAGAGAAATGATTACAAAATAAATTTGAGAAATACAAATAATACCAGAAAAAAGTAATCATAATATTCTCGTGAATCTAAAAGCGAACGTGGAACCAAATATTAGAACACAACTTTGGATTGAAATACATTAAATTAATGCTATTCTTTATAAGTAAAGTGTCCTTTATGATCTGACTTGAATATGATAGAAGACATAGAAGTATACACTAATAACGAATGAAAATTTATAAACAGTTGATATAATTACATTAAAATCTAATGGATCGTGAAAAAAATAAGGGGGTGTAAAACCAGCCAAATTACTCAACTATAAACACACTGTAACAGTAAGGGGAAATAAACAGGGACGAAAACTATACTGAAGTCAACAAGAAGAATTAGTAAAGAGCACACAGAAGCTGACATTTGATTTTTTACTCATAGATGGATCACAAACTTATCAGTCTGCAAATGCCCTGGTACGACCGAGGGTGGGGAGAGTTAGCTCTCCTTCTCGAAATGCTCCCACATGACCACGCGTATACAGCCACTGCTAGGGAAGTCCTACTCATCGCCTTCTCGCGGCTGGGGTGTTGTTTACGAAATTGACAGGACGAAAAGCGAATGTCCGGCGCTTTAACCGGGTTGGTGGACACGGAAGACCCAGCTAGGGGAGTTGGAAAACCCTGATCCCAAACTACTGGTGCACATGGGCTCCAGGATCATGATGGAACAAATGGCGTATGAACCAATTATTGATCACCTGCTACTATGGGACTGCACCTCCTGGCGTTGCTCCACTGCCTTGTGGATCACACCTTTAGGCCGAAGGCTCCGGGCGTGACCCCTTGAGAAAATCACCTGCTTCGGTCTGGATACTCGAGTAGTATCACAGCCCACACACAAATCAAGTGACTTGTATGGTGCACATGTATTCGATGCCCATTTGTACCAATATTTATGTGTTCAAATGTTCTATGGTGGTCTAGATTCAATTTACTCATGATATCAACCACTAAAATTACTATAATATTATTAGCGATCTATCCAATGATCAATTTATTTGAAGTTATAAAGTCAAACCTCAGTAATGGTACTTACAAACTTATTTATGTTACTTGAAAGTGAAACGCTATGCCTGCACTATGGCACACGACAGCCTCTTTACATACCATCAACTATCTGTCAAGCTGAAATTGACTATGCCCTTCTAGGCATTTTAATTTTTTGTAAAATAAGTCTTTTATTCCTTTAAAATAAGAATTTACTATTTTTACAGCTATTTTTATTTGAGAAGTTATAAAAGTGTTATCCCTTTGAATGATTTATTCCACAACTTTAGATCCTTTTTTATAGTTCAACAAATGATTCAGTGTCTTTTGTTATATAACTTAATTAAATTCAATTGTGGGAAGAACTACACGGTTTTTTAGGTTACGTTAAACCATATTGATAAGCATCCTATTCTTTATAATGAATCGTTCTGAGTAATCGAAGTGAACAATATATTAGTTGAGGACTTGTTTCTTCATCATGATAGTTACACAGTTTATTGCGACTATTCAAGTTTTGCGAGTAAACATCAGTAGTTTAAATGAAGTGATTTGTGTCTAGGTGTGTCAAACACATTAAAATTAAAGTTGCATGTGAGTGTTAATGTCAAGTTATTAATTCTGACAGAAGCAATTTTATAATTTTCAATTCATAATTCAAAACGATGAAATAACTCGGTCATGTCTGAAGTCCTGTTTAAATATTACTAACACGACATCAATATTTTGGAAGTATAACGCCATAACATATGGTGAAATAGGGACATACAGCCGGTTAATCATTAGCAAAATAGAACCAGGGAAATAAGTGTACCACTTCAGGTTGTCATACTATATCAACATGGCAAGATGAAATTAGCAAGACAAATATCGGAGTAATGGAAGTCAGTCAGTAACAACGTAGAACTTCGTACGTACGTACATCAGTTCGAGTCGCCACACCACATTAGCACAGAGATGCAGTTGTCGATTCAAATCCCGTAGTGGTAGAGGTAATAAGAGTATAAGCAGTAATCGGGAAAATTAGTGTTTGGAGATGTTATTTAAAGAGTATAATCCATTGAAATAAATTTGGAAAGAGGAAAAAAGGGACATGAAGAATTCAGAAGATTAGAATTTGGGAGAACACGAAGAGTGGATGCACCTGCATCATTGCAAACGATTTTGAGCCATGTCTTCAGGGTCTCTAACCATCGGTTGCTATCATCTCGCGGTCCCCAACCAGGTAGTCTACACCTACCAACATGACTCAGTCCACTTGTCAGTGATTTCATGGACTTGTGCCATGTTTTGGTTTGGCCGCCCCTAGCTTTCTTCCAACCTACTCCTATACCACTGAACATAGCACGTCGAGGCAGTCGGTCGTTGGGCATACGTAACACGGCTCCCAGCCATCTCAACTGATGAAGTTTCGCTACTTCATCAATTGATTTGCCATCCTTACCTAGTATCTGTTTCCTAACAACTGTGTTACTTACTCGATGGTCCCATGATATACGAGCAATGTTTCGAAGACACCTATGATCGAATACTAGTAACCTACGGATATCCTCTACTCTTACCGGCCATGTTTCACTGCCATAAAGTAGGACGGAACGACCTGCTGCGCAGTAAACACGTCCTTTGGTTGATAGACGGATATCTCGCCTACACCATAAATGACGCAAGTTGGCAAAAGCTAGTCGAGCCTTCTGTATCCGTGCTGAGATTTCGTCACACACTAAACCACAAGGGCTGATAAGACTTCCAAGATAAGTGAAGCGGTCGACACACTCAACTACTTCATTCCCTATCACTAGTTCGGGTGTCGATGTAACCCAATCCTGAAGCAACATTTTGCATTTCGAGGGAGAGAATCGCATCCCGAACATGCTTGCATTGTTGCTTAGAGTGGTCAGAAGACTCTGCATTTTGTCAGCGTCTTCACCAAATAAAACTATGTCATCTGCATATTCTAAGTCAACAAGTGAACCTCCCGGTAAAAGTTCAACTCCTGGAAATTTAGATGAGGAAAGTGTTATCTTTAAAAGTACGTCGACCACAAAGTTGAACAAGAATGGGGAGAGTGGACAGCCCTGACGAACACCACTTGAGGTAATCAATTCTGATGACAGTTCGTCATAAGCTCTCACTCGACCAGTTGTGTTCGAGTAGAGAGCCTTTATAAGGTTAATGTACTTCTTTGGTACTCCTTTCAGTGACAAACACTGCCATAGAACCTCACGATCAACAGAGTCGAATGCCGCCTTAAGGTCGAGAAATACTACCATTGTGGGGCGTCTGAATGCGTGTCTGTGTTCTAGAACCTGATGTAGTGTGAATATCTGATCTATACAACCACGTCCAGGTCGAAAACTGGCATGGTTTTCTCTAATCTGCTCTTCACGAGCTTTGATTAGGCGTCGAAGTATTATTTTAGTTTGAGCAGAATTGTACTTTAACGGGGTTTTATTTGAGCTACTCTAGTCTTGTTTAGATTCATTAGGCTAATCTAGTTTAAATAAGTCATAGAAATTAAATTAGTCAATCACAACGTAAAACCTGACACGTGTGTAAACTTAGAATCTGGGGTAAAAGAGGGTGTGGATGTAAACCTGTCAGGGCCTGCTGCTCTCCCTCGTTTCAGATTTCTTATGGCTTTTTCAACTTCGTAAAGGGACGGAGGACCTACATTAACTTGCCATTCAGGTTGACTAGAGATCGTGGGAAACCGAAGTGTGGTTGAAGGCCAATTGAACTGATCCCTAAAGTGTTCTGCCCATCGATCCAATCTCCTGGATTGAGAATGAATAATATGTCCATCTTTCTCTGAGATTGTTTCGCTAACGGTCGGGTTCCTAATTCCGGTTTCCTTAACGAGTCTGAACAATTGTCTGCTATTACCTATTGCCGCTGCCTTTTCCATCTCTCTTGATTTAGCTACCCACCACTGTTCGCGATCATTGCGTAGACATCTTGTCAGCTTGCGATTAAGCTGACTCCACTCTTCATTATGTTCAGAGCCAGGTGGAACGAGTTTCCGAGCATCTATCAGTGCGGTAGATGCTCCTAAGATCCAGTGTTGCTCCCTAACCTTCTGGTTTACCTTACTAGCAGATATCACTGCTGTTTCCACAGCTTTTCGGATATCATTCCATGCTGCATCGGGGTGGGCATCACATACATGGCTGCCTAACTGTTTTCCTAGTTGTTCCTGAAATATACTCTTAGCTTGACTATCATTAAGTAGGGCCCTAAGAGGTTTCCTTGCAGCGTCTTTCCTACGTCCAGTAAGACGCAGACAGATACGTGCTCGCACTAGAGCATGATCTGAATCTAAGCATGTGCTCCAGAATGAGCCACAGTCTTCTAACGAGCCTCTCCATCGGTGACTGATAGCGATGTGATCTATTTGGGTCCAATATTGGGACGAATTAGGGGGTCTCCATGTTAAAAGATGTTTTTCCTTATGTTTAAAGTTAGTATTTGCAAGGAACAGGCGGTTATCTGAGCATAGCTGCAACAGACGGTCGCCATTATCTGTTCTTTGAGCCACGACACCATAAGATCCACCTAGGTGTCTTTCCTTATCGCTTAGTTTACCTACTTGAGCATTAAAGTCACCGGCCACTATTACTACATCCGAGCGCTTAGCTTTTCGGAGAAGGTCCGAAAGCTTTCTGTAAAACTCATCTTTTACATCATCTGAACTGCAGTCAGTGGGAGAATAGGCAGAGACGACGAAGAGGCAACGACGAGTGTCCCTATCTTTCCGGATTCTTACTGTTCCGTTCAGTCGGATAGCACACAAACGACTGTCTACTGGGATCCACTCTAAGAGAGCTAGTTCTGCCCTAGGACTCAATGCTATACCTACGCCGGCGAGGCCACGGGAAACACAATCAGGGCTTCCAGATACACGAAGCGTAAATCGAGTCGGTTCTTTATTTTGGCATGAAGAGGTCAAATGAATGACGCTACTTGGATCCTGTATGCGCGTTTCGGAGACGCAGCACACATCGATGGCGCGAGATTCTAAAGTTTTAGCTAAGGAAGCCTGCTGTCCTATTTGGCAAAGTGTTCGTACGTTAAAAGCTCCTACGTGTAGTTTAGAGCGTGGTTTCAGGAGACCAGGAATGGCGTTCCACGTACTCGAATCGTTTGCCCTAGCGGTGCGAGGTGATAAAGAGACGTGAGGAGGGTTATTCGGGGAGATAAGAGAGGTATTAGAAGGTATAGGAAGGATTTGAATGTGACCACCTTGGTCTCTTGTGCTGTTACGGGTATGAGGGCTGATGTCACTTCCCGGCTGCCCACACCGTGGAACGGTATTTCTTGAGGAACCTGAAAAGGAAATTGGATTAGTGTTGGTCTTGACGACCTGGGAGCGTGACCGCAGAGCCCAAGGGACAACTGCTTGAGGCCGGTCGCGCACGGCCTTTTCGTGGGTTTTTTTGACGTGTTAGCTCCGTTCTTCAAAGGGCCTTACCGCCGGAGATGGAGATCCGTGAGGTAAGGTGAGGTGTGACATTTTTAGGGTCGACCTTTTCTAACCCCACCCCTCCTTGTGGGAAGGCAGCATCGCTGTCATGCTGGTTGTCCGAGGGAAACACCTTACTGCTGTCACACCTCTCTACAGTCAGCAGTACGACTTCGCCCTCAGACCTTGAGTTGCTGCTTTTAGTCTTACCGTTCACCAATCGACCTGCCTGGCATGGTAGAACCTACAGGAACATATGTTCCAGCCAATATAGCTCGGTTGGGTCATCACGATAGGCAAGCCCGACCACCGCGTCAAGGTAGCAGCTTCGATCGGGTGGAAGTAGTAACGACATCGGTAATAGTAGGAAAGACTAAAGATCAACAATATGATTCAAGAATAAGGGATAGATTTGCGGAATGGAAAATACAAGATAAGATCAAAACTCAAAATCCAAGGAACGATAAATAGTGTATCTATCTGAACTATTCCAACAGATTCTGAGCCATGTCACCCAGTCTCCATTGATTGATTACAATAGTTCGGAAAATATTAACCAGGTAATCTGAAGCAATCAACATGTGTCAATACAATATATAATGACTTCATCAACCGTTCGCCCGTCTTACTTTGTTCGCTCCTAGCTTTCTCATATACCACCAATCAGTTCATCCAGATGGGTGAAAGCTGAATATATGTGGTAAATGCGCCAAATACATCAGTCGACGGAGATTCACTACTTTATCAACCGACTAGTGGTCTTTACATAATACCCTGTGTCTAATCTCAGCATCGCCCTCTTGAAGATCCGAACACTGATTAAAAACGTTCCAAAGGCATCTACGACAAAATAGTGATAATCTACAAATATCCTATAATGTTAAAGACCATGTTTCACAGTCATCAAGGAAAATAAAAGGAACTACCAAAAAGTATTCTTGTATTGTAGCTGGTAGACTAACATACCTAACCCATAGGTAAATAAAGTCAGTACAAGCCAAGAGGTCTTTTCTGAATGTGTCAATATGTTTCCAGACAACAAAACACTAGGGCTGATGGGGCTGTCAATCTTCGTTGGATTATTGCGCAAAACTCTTTATTCTCATGGAATTTATTCAAAATTACCCTTACAGAAGTGGATCCATACAATCATACAAAAAGCCTACTTGTAAGGACTGTCAACAAATCATTCTGGTGAATACAAGTTGACTGTATATGTTACTACAATTCAAATTCTAAGATAAGTGTGGTCGAAAATAAGGAATGATATACAATATTCAAAGTGCTCCATTCTCACGATGAACTGATATGTACGAAACTTTCGTGTCTTTTATTACAAACGTTCTAATATATATAATCCTAAAATGATAGGATCATGTAAAAGTTATCCGACCCTCATGTATCAGTTAACTAAGACACTCCAAATCCCTTGATATCAGGCCCAAATGGGTTAACATACCATCAGTTTGATATTACCTCCTGATTCTACAGAAATTAGTTAACTATATTTAAGTTTTGATCTGCTCAATTACTAAATTTGTCACGTCTATGATATATTACATTTCACATAACTATACAAGGCAAATCACTGACTACTTGAGTCTAAGAAAGTCGATAGTGATTACAACATTGCGGTAAAATATTTTCCATACATGGATTACTCGCATTTGGTTATCACTACTCCTTATTAACAAATTGTGATAAACGTGCAACTCTTAACAAATAATGATATACGTTTACTGAGAAACCGTGTACGTGAATAAAAAAATATAACTTCATATATTCAACTTACATCAACCTCGCCCTGGTCGATTATGTAGAAATTATCACCTTCATCTCCTTGCTGAATAATCACATCGCCTGAATTACGATGTACAGGGAACATGGCATCAAATATATCACTAAATAAATGTAAAACCAGATTTTAGAAAGTCAATCGAATAAAAAGTTTCAAAGTAAAAGATAAGTTGACCAGGTAGTTTTTTCCAATTTATAAAGTCTTTAACTTAAATTGGACAAAGTGGGCCCACCAGAGCTAGTGGATGAGTGGCGAAGACTCTAGAATCTTCCTGTGTAAAAATCGTAAACATGAATTCTTATTGTAACGTCAACTTATTTAACTTGCTGTTTTGCTTTAGAATATAATTACGTTCCTGTACAGGCCGTGTTCTGATACAAGAACCAGTTGAGTAGACTAGTGTCCGAAAAATACTAGGCAAACGAAGTAATTGGGTTGAATAAGCAAGACTTTAACACGCATATATAAATATAAGCAAATGAACGTATTTACGCAAATATTATATCACAATGTAGGCATGATGTGCACACTTATGTCCATCTTATAGGTAGAAAGTTAGATCACGCTCCAGTTACTTTATGTATTTAATTACAAATGAGAGTTCTAATACGACTGTGCATATAAATAGAGTCCGCCACACAGACACACACATAACATAGTAGGGTAAAAAAAGGAGCAAGGAGTATAGTCTGTTTCCCATATATTTTCAAACAACTCAGTCAGAAGTTCACCGCTATCCTCATAAAGAATCTGGGATAGATCCTTTGGCCCTGATGGCCTATGGCGGTTCAAAAGCGAGAGATCCTTGGAGACCTCCGCCTCGTTGGGAGGACAGTCATCACCGACTAGGAAGGACAAATATCTAAGCGATGCTGTTGGGGTGACAGACCAACCGAATTGTTTCTCAAAAAGCCCTGTCCATTGTCCAAAATACCGTTGAATGCTACCAACAGAAGTATCACCGGCTTCACAGATTATTTCATTCACAACAGACTTCTCGTTACCAGTGCCTCGGGTGGGTTGGAACAGCTTCCGTATCGATCTGCTGCTTCCAACTCCTTGGAGCACCCAGACAATCGGGCGTCACGGTCCTTACATAAACTTCGCAATTTCACTACGCACGAATCGACGTTTATCGTCAAACTTGCGGTTGACCGAAGTAGACTGACGTGCCTCGAGAAATTGTAGGGAACCTGTAGAAACCTAGTGCCTATGTATGGGAAGTTTTGCGTAGCCACAAGAGACTTTACTCGCCATTTTCATAGCATCATGTAAATGCAGCCAGTGCTCATCTACACTTTTCGGTGGGTTGACAGCTAGACTTGAATCTAGTTACGTTTGATATGTTTTACGATTGGAGTTACATTAGGTTCGCTTACATTATCTCTTCTAGGACAATGAATTTACCGACCACTGAAACGTCCAAAGTTCAGATAAGTACTCGAAAAGGGGCGCCAGCCTTGTACACAACCACTCCAGTCAGTCAACTACAATATAGGACCAGGCATATATATGCATCGGTCTAAGCTACCACACCTCATTAGCACAACAAGATGAACACCGAATTCATAGAAGTCGTTACTTCAATGGTAGTAATATATAAAAGGAAGACTGGGTATAAGGATATAATACAGGAAGAACGAATTAGTTCGTAGAAACATAGGTATAAGGCAACCACTCTAACGGCGGCTGGTCGTGATGTGATCGGTCTGAGTCTAGACTTGGGTTGCAGAGGGATGGTACCAGGTGGCACAACGGGGATGACTGTACTGAAAGCTGATCCTGACCAGAAACAGGTTGTGGTCTGTACAAAACTGTAGGAGACAGTCGGCGTTATCTGACCTGAGACCGAGTCCTCATTGGCCACCCAAACAACTCTTCTCTGTGTCTAGACGCCTGGCTTCTGCATTCAAATCTCAGGCCAGTACTACAATATATATCGAATGGGCTTTCTTGAAACCATTTAACTTGTGGTAGAACTCATCCTTGATAGCATTGGGACTGCAGTATGTCGGGGTGTAGGCGGAAATGACTAAAAGATATAGTTTTCCGCACCGATTTCTTATTACTTTGATGAAGCTTTCTAATCTAACAGTATATAACCCGGTGTTAATGGCGATCCAGTCGATGGGTGCTGATTCTAACACGGCATATATGGTGACACCAAAGACAGAAAAACCGAACAAAGATGCCACAAGGTTGCCGAATAAATGCACATGAAACAAGCTGTTCGAATCGACAGATGGCCAGTCAGTCAAACGCAACGTAGAACCTGGCACGTATGTACATCGTTTCAAATTGCCTCACCTCACTATCACAGCAAGTTAAAATTATTATGTCAAATCATAGAGTAGGAGAGTTAGTAACAGTATCAGTGGTGATAGGAAAGATTAGGCATCAAAGATATGATTCAAGATATAAATTGGTGAAACAAAAAAGTTATGACGAATTCAGAAACTCGTGATAGGAAGAATGGTAAAGAGTCGATGCACTTGCGCTATTGTGAACGATTTGAGCCATGTCATTCAATTTTCTTACCACTGTTTACGACAATCACGCGAACCCAAATCAAGTAGTCTACACCTGTTAACATAGTTCAGAGCAATTGTCAATGACTTCATGGAGTGATGCCATGTTTTGGCTTGGCCACCCCTAGTTTTCTTCCAACTTACTACCATACCGCACAACATCGCTCGTCGAGGTAGGCGGTGGTTGAGTACGCGTAACATGTCCCAACCACCTCAGTTGGGGCAGATTTACTACCTCATCAATCTATTTACCATCTTTGCCTGGTACTCTATTACTAACTCTGACAATTTGTATTCGGTGGTCCCAACATATAAAAACGATGCTCCAAAGACATCTAACCAACGAATACCTTCTATTCCTAATGACCATATTTCACCCATTAAATAGAACGAAGAGGACTGATATGCAGTAAACTCGTCGTCTGTTTAACAGATGGATATCTCGCCTACGCCACAAGTGACGCGAGTTGGCAAAAGCCAGTCGATCTTTCTGAATCCGTGCGTAGATTTCGTTAGGCAGCTGACCATCAGGACTGATGAGACTGAAAATTGTTATCTATAGAAAAACCTCTATGACAAGTTTAAAAGTATGGAAGTTACACAACGATGACGGATGTCACTTAATGTAACTAATGCCGATAGCGGTTCTCCATATCCTGTGACTCGACGTGTAGTGTTCGAACAGAGAGCCTGTGTAGGGACAAATTACTTTTTTGATACGCCTTTCCATGATAGACACTGCCACAGTATTTTATGATCAACAGATGCAGTGTGTATCCGCAGTACGTCGATGAAGCTTTGAACGAACAACAGACGTCGACTTAAGGCTTCTCAACAAACCTATCTATTGTCCGATCTGCATTAGTGTGTGAACGTTGGACATCAATTTGAATGATACACAGGAAAGCTGTGTCAGGATCGGATTAAACGGAAACACTCATAATTTTGACCAACCAACGACTTGACGGCGTTTGAGAACGACAGAACTTTCACCATAGGCGTGTCTTTGATTGAGTCGGAAACTAAAGACATACACAAAACGCGGATAAAGAACAAAATGAAGACACTATAAAATAAATTCAAGGGTATCTATGCAACTTCGAAAACAGGTAGTGATTTCGAACCGTAAATTGAATATTTATTAATAATGATCATCATAAATGTTTGTGTGAAGTGGGATACTCCCAAGGTATAAAGGTTTATAATTCATCAATAAAAGAAGACATGAAACAGGATTTTTATTTCATTACGTAGAAAAATTACACGAAATACATTAATCGTTTATTGATGGAACGCAGACAAGCACAACAACCCAGCAACTGATACCGTTTAGTACTATTTTATACTAAAAGTCTAATCTAACCTATCTAATTCAAAGTAAATTCCATCGACTGTTATCTCATTTCTTAAGTACCATACATTACAATCACAGGTCATTATGGAATATGAGAATCGGGTTAGAAAAGAACGAAAATAGGTTGTACGGTCACATAGATCCTACCTGAGTTCCTAGCAAATTATTTATAAGAAAGGTGTGTACTACTGTTTTGGTTCGGCGAGAACCTTTCTCTCCCTGTGACGTTTGAGTGGGGAATGTTTGCATAAGCTCATGTTCAAACTATAACCGTTAGAGTAAATTTATCAGGGCTGAAATCATAATCAGAATTATATATATATATATATATATATATATATATATATATATATATATATATATATATATATATATATATATATATATATATATATATATATTACATCCCTAATTATTTAAAAGATCATGTGATTATGTCATGCATGAATTAAGATATACCTGAATTTTTCACATTTACAGGTCGCATTTGATTACACCTTACTGAAAACACACTCGTCCAAACTGTTCAGCTGCTCAGTCATATTTCTATTTCGAAACTTTGTTTGTTCCTAACACTAGATGGTTAGTTTTAGTAAACAAAACGAGAAATTGTTAGTTGGGATTGTTAAATAAGTTTGTTTAACTAAATATGAACTTGAACTTTACGTCACTCTAAGATTGCGCATTTCACATTTGACTACCGGGTTACTTACCACCAATCGTAACGAAACAAAAACGTAGTGTTCTTGATTAAAAGACAAGGGTCGGCTACATACTACAGTGCTTCCAACATGTACATACTGCTAATAGGAATGTTCGTAGTTCGCTTAATGAAAAATTGATTTGAAGATTTTATTGACTGACTGATAGCAATTTGTTTAACATAAACCAAGCTAACAATAAAATACATACCTCCTTTCCGTCTCATCTAAATGAGAAAATAGGACATTTTTGGCGATAGCCTTTGAAAGAGCTGTCATCGTTTTATAGTCCTTCGGTACAACCTTATTGAAACGAAATAATGATAATATGTCGATAATAAGAATGAATATAAACAGAAAAATCACAATCAAAAGAACTTAATAAAACTGAACTACATAATGACGCTATCATGCTAAATAAATATTCTGAAGTCTTGATCATTGAAAAATGGTTTCGAACATTTATTTTCCTAATTTTATTGGTTGATATACTGTTGTTAGCTTTTATACTATAATTATGACAGGTGTTGATGCACTTGGTTATCAAAGTTCGTTTGCTTTCGTTCTATTGTCTTGAATTTCTGCCGGAGTTGAGTTTAGCTGCTTGAATGCTATCCTTTTCCAAACTTTCCAGTTATATGGGTACAAAAGCAATATGGAGATTAGTAAGTTATGCTGGAAAGGCCCAAATGGTTAAAGGGAGGTTTATTGAAGTTGTTATACAGCCTACATTAATCAGTAAAACTATTCAAAATGAATATAGACGACAGAACATTAAGATTTAAGTAGTTGAGAGTCGTGATGATACACAATGACGTTACTAAGTGACAAAATAAAGCACTAAAATGTGATAAGATACTCCAATTATAAGCTGAAATTAGAGAGATTATGTTAAGATGTGAAGCTTTATAAAGAAATGACATTGAATGAGACACAATTACCTTCTTAACGTAAGATGCAGCATCTTCTTCTGTATAAACTTCACCACTAACTGCTCCTCTTCGAGACCGACGTCTAGTTAAACTAACTCCGGAAGGTGATACAGCTAACAAGCCTCTCGTTCCCCCACTATTTCCTCCATCATAACCACTTCCATCCTCATTCATATTATTGGATTCGTAACTACTATCAACTTTCAAAGGAGTTTCGGTCAAACGTTTTTCAAGAGTGTTAGGAATAAGATTATCTGTATCACAGGAGCATCGATGGTTATTCACTTCTGAAGATTTCCCACAATTTTGAGAGCTTACGGAGGGAATAATAACACCAAAGTAACCACTCCCATGACTTTTAACTTCATGTTGGAAAGAGCGACTGGAGGTATTTGATATAGGAAATGCGTGTGAATCTTCATTGCGTTCTGAGTGTTTATGAAAAGCGAACCCAGTTACATGACTAGTTGATGCTGCAGTACATTTTCCATTACAAACCTAAAAAATTAAACAAAATATAATAAGACAATAAAAAGTAAAATCGCATTTAAATACCGGTTTATAGGTGACAAAATTTACACAGACTAACCTAAAAACCCTGCATAAGCACACTAGTTACATCTAACACACTTTAGTAACTCGAAAGACAGAGCGAATTTTGATTTTTTTTTAATCCCAGACAATTGAACCAAATAACCCAGGATTTCCACCAAATAATCCTCAACTTCCTTATATTTCCTATACTGAATAACTATTCCACGACTACCTTAGGTAAAATTGATCATCACCTTAAGTTACGAAAAAAAGTATTAAAATGACAGTGTGTAGACAGAAATATGTAGGAGATAAATGTGATTTTGAGTAATCATTCCCCATACACTATATAATACACAAGTGCGAGAAAGAAAGCTCTCGAACACTGTCCTTAGATAATTCAACAAATTTAGATATTTAAAGTTTGTCTCACATAGATTGTTGTACCGTATTTTATAGATAGTTTGCATTCATTATCAGGTACCTAAACACTGAGTTCTGTTGCTCAATTCTGACATTAATGCGGATATTAAGAGGCTTAATGAAGGCTTCAAGTGTTAATTAAGTGGCGAACAACCACTTGAAGCCTTCATTAAGCCTCTTAATATCCGCATTAATGTCAGAATTGAGCAACAGAACTCAGTGTTTAGGTACCTGATAATGAATGCAAACTATCTGTAAAATACGGTACAACAATCTATGTGAGACAAACTTTAAATCACTAAATCTGTTGTGCGGAGGCATATATAACCGCTAACTCGATATTAGGACACACCTGCGTACTCATTGTTTTCACCACATCAACGTAATCATAATTATTGATCTTCGTATGATTACTGGTTGGGAGTGCATTTAGTGTTTCTAGTTGGGTAGATTTGTCTGGCTATTTGCTGGTTAGCGCTAATAATCATAGTTCAACTCAAACATAACAAGACAAATTCAACACAGCGGTTGCAAGACAAAAATGAGGATCCACCTTATTTCGTGGCTTCTCTCCTGCTGTTTATTAATGTATTTATGCTGACTTGTTTAATATCAGGTACAGTAAAAATAACATAACCTCCCCACCAAAAACAGGTTTCTGTATCGCACCTTGGAACTAAAAGAATTATACCAAAGCTTTCATTCATATAACTAAACGAGCGGAATTTGATAGTCCGAGTCAGCAATTAATTTTGTTGGGCTAAACTACTACTTTAAGCTTCCAATGATATTAAATAGGCATTTCATGTAAAGTTGAAGGTTTATGCTCAGGAATATTATTGACCAAATGTTACTATAGATATTTAATGTTATAACTTGCCTCCAGCTTCTCAAAATACTCACGGAGAAATGCAATTGGATTACTAGGACGATGTAGGCACAAGTTAACAACGCAGTCCCTGAGAATTTCATGCACATTATGCTGTTTAACATAATCCTCAACATCGCTCATAAACGACTCATCCTCCATTATCCCCAACTTCTCGGAAGCATCCGCAACTCTCGTAATGGCCGCCCGTTCGGTGTAAAATCTCGGTATCCAATACCTTGTGACTGTTCTTGTATCAAACGATTGATTTCTTTGCGCTCACTTCTTGTTGTTTCGGTATACTTTGGAATCTGCGTTAATCCTTAGTGGGTGTTAGTCTAGTCACTCGACTGCACTAGTTCCAATCAATTCGATAGGTATTTGTGGATTTGTTTCACGTAATCTGAGTGGGTGTATTTGTTTCATAGCAGTAAGGTTTCTGGAAAGCAGAAGCTGACACGTCACGAGATAAGGGGTTGATTGGTTGAAATTCGGACACCAATAAAGAGAAAATCAGGATGTAGCGAAGCTAAGAGCAGACGATTGTCTGACATACGCAGACAAAAGGTGATCAGCTAGTAATGCGGATGGACTGAGCTGTCCACAATCAAAGAGTAAGGGCGTAAACGTAGATGATAATGAGCGAAATAATAATAAGCTAATGACAAGTGATAATGATAGTAGTCAGTAGGTTATGAGACATACATCACCCACAGCTAGTCTAAGTAGAAGATGGTCAAACAATAGTGAGTGCGTGTTAGTAAAGTCTTATCTCGAGGCTATCCACTCTGTGGAGTCAATTTTCTTTTAGGTTGAGAGAGCGTTTTAAACAGCAGGAACTGTAAATGAAATGAGTGAGAGCATATCTGGATGTGGTGTTTGTACGCACTAATGATTCCTTTGTACTTAATGGCCCACTGATTACGAATTCCAAATATAATATGTCCATTCACTCTCATATAGTTCCACTTGCCGTAAAGTACACTATTCTGGGAATCCCTATTGAGTACATTGGTTCGAATACTTCTAATTATCATTCTGGGTCTTTGTTTTCTGATGTCCAATTTTTCGGTGGTTCCTCACGGCAGTGATTTCTGGTAGGATGTTCTTCTTGAGACGACCTGAGGCACTTAGTATGTTTAGCGTTTTTATTAGGTCATCTCTAGTTCTCCCATAACCCAGATTTATCTAAGGGTTTATGGTCTATCTTTTCAAGGTTTGTCCCTGAGGTCAATCATCCACTTAGTTCTTTGTCTACGTACGTGCTCTGAGAGATTTATATATATAATACACATTTTAGAGGATAAATATTTACGGAAACGCTTTTTACTCAACCGTTTTACTTTATATTACAACTGGGGAGGAGCAAATGCGTCTGAGCTATTACTAAATCAACACCAAGTTAGTTTGTATGTAATACGAAGACTAGAACATTTCAAACTGTTGTACATTTGATTGTATTTATTTACTGGATTTATTAATAGTACATTATCAAAACTTCTAGCCTACAGCACCCCAAGCCCAATAGTGGTAAGATACGTCGTTATCAGAAAATAGTCTATAAGAAAATTTTATGAAGCAATTTAGTGACCCGGCTGAAAAAGTAGTAATATCGGCTGAATTTGTGATTTGGTTTGCTCAGATTGAATGAATGTTACGTTTACAGAAATACACAAATCTGATACTAATATCCTCTAACACATAGTACTTATTTGATAGAACAGAATTTTACCACAAAAGAAAATAAGCATAGTGCAAATTACCGAAATCAATATATGTCTCCATAGTAGTAGCTGAACTCATACGACAAACTACAGTGCAAAGTCGTGCATAGAGGACAGTTAACAGACGCTTTCCAGGTGAGGACCGGAGTCAAAAGCGTATGCTTACTATCTCCCTTTCTCCTTCCTCCGGTAATGGACTGGATTAAAAAGATCTAGAAACCTGAGAGGAAACACGGAATAGAACGGACAACTCGCAATAAATCAGAACATATAAACTTCGCAGATGACCTGGCCGTTCCATCCCATACACACGAACACATGCATGTCAAGACAACCAGCGTGTCAGAAACCTCTGCATCAATAGGCCTGAACATATACAAGGGAAAATCCAAGATTCTCAAATACAACACAGGACACCAACCCAACCACACTTGATGAAGAAGCTCTGGAAAATGTGGAATCTTTCACGTATCTGGCCAGCAGCACCGTCGACGAACGTGGAGGATCCGATGCAGACGTAAAGGTGAGGATCGGCAAAGCAAGGGCGGCATTCCTACAAGTGAAGAACATATGGAACTCAACACAACTGTCAACCAATATCAGTCACAATCTTCAATACGAACGTCAAGATAGTTGTGCTGTACAGATGTTGGAGTTGGATAGAACATACATTGAGGAAATCACTGGAGTGAACCACAATGGAAGCCCTAACTTATAATCCTGAAGGGAAACGGGAAAGAGGAAGGCCAAATAACACACTGAGTCGAGAATCGGGAGCAGATAACAGAAAGGTGAACAGCATATAAAAACAACTGGAAAGGACTTCTCAAGACAAAGTTTGATGGTTAGGAGCCTATGCTCTTCCTCAATGCTGACAGGCGTAAGTAAGTAGTAATGGAAGGAAAAACTCTAAATACTTACTTCGATGAAGCTATAGGTGAAAGAACATTTTTTTTAAACAATGGTGAATGAGTAGGAATAAAGGCTAGTTGTATAATAGCACATCAATCTGTCATTATTATGATAAACCTTATGCCAAAATTGTAGATTTGTCATGATGTGACTAAACAATCTATAAGATCTTACATGGGAGTCACATCATTGTCTGGTTTGACTCGTCGTACAGTGACAATCAGCAATACAATACTTATCGCTTTTGAAGAACACATTTGGTTCGGAATTAGAGCAATATATTTGGTGTGAATAGGAGTTAATTACGCAGAACGGCCGCTCCTTCAAGGCCGAGCCATGCTGTGGCAAAAAATTATCCTCGTGCCCACCATCTTTGACCTTCTCTAAGTGCTATATATTAAAAGTAAATCTCGGAAATTGTATGTTCGGCTTCAAAGATCGTGTGGTTAGGAACCAATAACACTACAATTTATCCAGATAAGGTAGAATAACATCTATTTGTTTCACTTGGTTTAACTGTAGATGGAACAGTTATTATTTCAATAAATAGTTGGTAATATTTGTATGGAACTGTCGACTCCAGGATTATTTAGTTTTGGAATTTGTATTTTTCGCACGGCCTATTTAAGTAAATCAAACAAAGTACCATATCTTGGTAAATAACCAGATTGATTTAAATGTCCGTCCATTCACAGCACAACAATATCGTCCCTACACATGATACTTGAAATCTTTTTCAGTAAAAAATTACAGAAATCGCACCAACTCGTAATATAAAAGGAATAGTTAAAAGAATAATATGACATACTGTGGTGTATGTTACTTCTGTTGACCGTCATAAGTAGTATGTGACACCAATCAGAAGTGGAATAACTAACGGCAGATGGTTGGGAAAATTGAATTGAGAATAACAGTAAGGGAAACAGAGAGCAATTAGAATAACAACAGAATTGAAAGAATCGTGACGTATGTAAAGGATAGATGAAGGGTCATTTGCAAATGTTGTATTTAATGTATGGTTGTATATTTTACGTCACTCTAATCTTGTTTCAAACGATAAATTGGCCCCTCCACCTGCGTTCTTCGTTTACTACCATAAATGTTGAAAAAGGAAAGTGCCAGTTTAATACATCAAGCAAAACAAACTTTATGCTGAAACAGTAGCGGCAGTAGCAAATGTGAAAGGTGTATGGAAACTAGCGTGGACGAAGATATGAAGAAGTCATCAAAAACAATGTAAGCTGTTTTTAGGGACGTTATTTAATTTATTTCACACTTTGCAGAATATTAAAATATAGTTTTGGCCCTGGTTTACTACGTAAACAATTAGCTTTCGTTTGGTGTATGGTTCACTGACGTACTCTTTTTGTTCCAAAGCTAATTTGAACATAAAATGTTGTACTGTAGTGGCATTAAACAATCCACAAAGTTGAACACGAGACTACTCAGAAAGTAGATATTCAATATTTAACGCGGATAAATACCTAACAATGGAGAAGGCGCGAACAAGGAATTGAATGGACTGGAGTTGATCGAGTGGCATGGGTCGTCCATGCAGACGTGGTCCATCTCAGTGTTACTTTATATCTTCTATTCATATTAAATATATGGTTCTTTCTCTAGCCTAACCTTGTTCTACATCATGTATTGGTAATTGATACGATACAGTGAGTTGGTGTAGTCGATGGTGTGACTTCCATGTAAGATCTTATAGATTAGGCAGTTATATCATGACAAATCTACAAATTGAGGATTAGGTCTATTATTAGAGCAGTACTAATATCATAGTAGACCATAATTCTACATTGGTGAGCCCAACTAAAGAAACGCAACCTATTATTATTAATCCTTATATCCACTTAAACTTTCTCGATCGATTTTATATTTATGTTAACCCTGTATTCTAATAGTCCTCTGATTAATGCTCACATGCATTATCGTAATGTTATATTGATTAGTCCTCATGACAAACTAGCTCAATCGATAATAAAATCTGGTCGTCTATATTAACTAATTAGCCTTGATGGTTCGTTAACAAGCTGTAATAGCATTTACATGCTTCAGCAACATAGTCTTGTTTAAACATCAAGCTCTAGCAAATATGACCTGTAAATAGCGTAAATATACATTGACTAACAATGCGATCAAGGACTAAATAGTTATCTGGATCTAATTCTCAGTGTTCCTTCACTTAACACCTCATCCTGTTTTAAACTACGCACTATCCTGTAATATCTTTTCTTCTGACCACTGCCTGCCTAATTTCATATTTTCGAGTTCCATTGCCAAACAACAAGGATGACACTTCTCCAAAAACATGCGGTGAGTTTCATCTATAGGTTTTCTGCAATCATAAGGTCATTATAGATGGCTCGTTCAATAACAACCACACAATTAACTGAATTCATTCGATTGTTCTAATCCGAGCGAGTGGCAGAAACGTCAACACCATCAAGCACCCTGGAATTAATTGCCATACTGCATGTTTTATTCTGGATACTTTTGGATCATTACTACTCCTTACGAATGGCGTTATATATGTCGTCCACTGAATAATCTAAATTTTAGAAATAATCCAGGCGAGTTCAACTATCTTAC